CCATGTTGAAGTGGGAAGCAGAGCAGAATTTAAAAACACGTATGCAACCGTAAAACTACCACAATAAAAAGGCAAAACAGGGTGTAAACCGGGATTAAAAAGGGAACAACCGCAAAATTACCAGTTAGCGTCAGGAAGACGCTTTGTCCAGTACCACTTTATTCGATCCAAGATATCTTGGATCAGATGAAATTTGACTAGTCAAATTTCGATTCAAGTGTTTTTCAAACCCTGTTTTTCACGTTATTTAGCTAAATCTCGAGGTATGGCACGCCAAAAAATCGAGCTACCGCGTAGTACTCACAGGACGGCAGACCAAATGGTGGGGACCGTCCTATCCACCAATGGCGCGATTTTGAATGCTGGCTGTTGTCCATTCGGACAACCGGTTTCTGCGTTCTCCAAAGGTAAGGGTTTTATTGGGTAAACTTCTTGCACAACGTATTTGTAAAGAGGTGAGTACCTCCAAACATCCAAAAACTGATATGTACCATTCCCAATTTGCATAGTTGAATAAAAGTGCAAAAGTTGAAATATAACAGTATTTGAGTTAGGTCAGGTCAGGTTAGGTTAAAATCCGTGGACGATACAGTCTTCCGCCTAACGAGCTTCCAGCTTCTTGTACCGGTAAGTGAACCAGAGCCCCCGGCACTTCGACTTTTGATCGTCTCTCCTTGCTTCTGCAAAAAGAAATGAAGCAAAAGCGAGAGCAATCTTTGCTTTTACAAGGATCAACATGGGATATCAATGCGAATAAATTGGATAGGATTATATTAATTTCGTAAAAATACGCGGCCAGCACCTGTCTAGGCCTGCTTTGAAGGCATCCACAGTCTCACAATCCATTAGTTCCGAAGGTAACTTATTCCAGTTGTGCACCACATCATTCGAGAAGAACTTAGCACTGACGTTTAGTCTAGCCCTCTGCTGTTTGAGCTTCAAGCGATGTCCACGCAAGCGTTCAGAATCAGCCAGCTCAAATAAATCAGAGGGCACGGTGGCACTGAGGCCCTTCATGATCTTAAATGTTTCTATCAGATCGCCTCTCAGTCTACGCCGTTCAAGGGAAAACAACCCCAGGCTCTTTAGGCGATCTTCATACGGCTTCCCCCGTTGACCTTCAGCCATCCTGGTTGCTAGTCTTTGAATCTTCTCCAGGCAAAGAACATCACCACGGAGATAGGGCGACGAAGCTTGAACACAATACTCTAAGTGTGGCCTAACCACTGCTTTGTATAGTGGCAGGAACACTTCTGGCTTGGTATTACACAGAGCCCTCCTGAGGCGAAACAATTCTCGTCGCGCTTTGTTGGCGGCGTATCGACATTGCATCGAAGGCTTGAAGCTGCTCGTCATGATGATTCCTAAATCGCGTGCCTGGGTAGTGCATCGTAAGGGGAAAGGCCCAAAGGAAGTCTGAACTGCAAGTACGTCTCTACTAGTGGGCAGAATTTGGCACTTGCTTGCATTCAAGGGCAAGTCCCATTGCTTCGACCAGTTGACCACTGATGATATACTTGGCCGGAGTTGCACGGTTACCCTTGCTGACTAGTTTCAAGTCATCCGCAAAGATATAACAGGGGTCTTCAATAAGAGGAGCCAAGTCGTTTATAAACATAAGAAACAAAAGTGGACCTGGCACCGATCCTTGGGGTACTCCACTATAGGCCACGCCCACACTAGAACTCACATCACCGATTCTAACTCGAAACGTTCTCCCACATAAGAATTCTGACACCCAAGACAGAAGTCTAGGATGCACTCCAAACCACGCTAATTTTTCAAGTCGGAGTTGTTAAAAAGAAAACGGAACATAGACAATGGTTTAAGGAAGTCCGCGGTACGTATTTCAACAAACATCCTACATTATTAATAAGCATTACTATGGGTTTAATGACCCAAAATTTATCTCCTACCACCTACAACCGTGTGTACCGGAACCACACTGCCGAAAGAACGTTATTTCCAATTGGCGGATAGGACGCTCTGCAAATGGTGATGCATTGATAATGAGATATGACGGATAGGTATGTGTCGCTTAGTAACTAAGTATCTACAGGAAGTGGTATTTGCTAAGATTGACTGGGAGTGGATAATTTTTCGGAGCATCGGATCCGCCAATCGCGAGCAATGAACTTTTGGCAGTGTGATTGTGGTACACAAGGTTGTATGCTGATAAATGAAACTTTTAGGCATTCTAATGCATGTGGGTTTACTATTATGTTAATATCTTGTTAATATGCTAAGAAAAGGATTAGAAACCAATAAAGTGAACGGTTTAAATGGCTTACGTTGGTTACTCATTTTCACGCTTCTAGCAAAAGCAGCCATGGTGGATGACTCTTGTGTATTCCGACGTATCTTCAAGGGTCCATTTGTAGAGTTTCATCGAAGAATGAGGATCTGAAAATTTTTCAGATGGAAACGGCGACATCGTTCGTTCGTTGGAGCGTTTTAACTGAAAGCTTACGAATGGGAGACGGGACAGGTGCTACCGGAAAATGTTCAGAGGGTCGCCTGTATCGGGAGCCCAGAGAGCGATTCGAGAAGACAGATCGAGTTGCAGGGAAACTTTTATTGATACGGTAAAAGATCCCCTGTTATCTAGCTATAAAGGAACGACCCCGTGGACGCTATAGCTAGGGGAACAGAGAATGCACAGCAAACAAGGCAGTCGCGAGTTGCAACCGAAACGAGCGCCAAGCAAAATTGGCGATGGGCAAGTCAAGTATTCGAACTCAGCAATCAATTCAACAAACCACACTGGTTGCCTAGGTGTACAATGAAATAATTTTAGTTAGAATTTTACATAGACGATCCGGGAAATCTCCAGGCTGCTACATAGCCCTCTCTCAGAAGGGACTGTGTAAGCAGTCCTTCGACCTACGTGAGGACTGTCCGTCGCGCGCCAGCCTTCTACGTGACCAAGTTGGGAGCCATTGTGCAATCGGACCCTAGCGGGCTCCCACCCGTATCCTCCCTACGGTGTCGAAACGATAAAAAACTGCTTGTGGGGGGACAGTTAGTAAAGTTCACGTATGCGGTTGAGCAGGAAGTTCGTTCCACTTCCAGTTGACGTGCGGGGATCCAGCGAAAAGTGAAACCGAGGTGCAACCAACCGACGGTGTATATGGAAAGCAAAATGAAAAAGCAGCATAAATGCATAGCCATACACAAAAGAGTGCAAAGCGAAAAACGTGCAAAGCTGTTTTTGGGTTTTCAAAAGATTTTGCTCTTTTTTGGTAATTTCAAAACGTTTTGATCTTTTCTTGTGGATTTTCAAAAACGTTTGGTAAGAGCAGAAAATTTTAAAGGCACGTTCTATGTAAAATAGTGAGTGCTAACGAAGTCCGAAAAACGAACTGGAGGCTTGAGCTTCCTACCGCGTCGATTGATAGTAGGGCGAGTAGGAGTGCTGTCGGTTGAGGTTGTCGGTTCTGCTGGAGCGGACTGACTCGTCTGAGGTTGCGGTGCGAGCTGTGATGGCACAGACTGTGAAGGTGCTTGCTGCACCGAAGAGTCAGACTTGTCGAGGAATGCTGGCTTGAGTCGATCGACGTTGATCGTCTCAGTCTTACCATTGTAGTCAATGGTAAACGTCTTGTCGCTTCTGCGTACGACACGGTACGGACCAGAATAAGGAGGTTGAAGTGGCCGGCGTACGCTGTCAGTGCGAACGAACACGTGCGTGCAAGTAGTAAGCCGTTCGTCCACGTTGGTACGCAAGCTCTGTGCTCTGGGTTGCACAGGCTGAAGCTGTCGCATGTGATGAGATAGGCGAGCTGCGTAGTCGCCATAGTCGAAGGTTGTTGGCGCTTTTGGTGAGACGAGTTCACCAGGTAAGCGTTGTGTGCATCCAAAGACTAGCGACGATGGAGTGGCGTGCAAATCCGCTTTAATCGTGTTTCTTATGCCTAAGAGAACGAGCGGAAGTGCTTCGTGCCAGGATGTGCTAGATTGGGCACAGAGTGATGCTTTGAGTTGCCGGTGGAACCTTTCTACCATCCCATTAGCTGCGGGATGGTATGCGGTGGTTCGGTTATGTTGGCAACCAAGAACGTCGAGCAGTTTGCTGAAGGATCCGTCAAAGTGCGATCCTCTGTCAGTGATGACTACGCTTGGGCAACCGAATTGAGCTACCCAGCGTTCTAGGAAAGCTTGCGCAACTGTCTCAGATGAGCAGTTGACTATCGGAATCGCCTCTGGCCAACGGGTGAATCGGTCGACACAAGTGAGGAGGTACACGTAGCCTTTGCATGGAGGCAAAGGTCCGACCAGGTCGACATGGACGTGTGCAAAACGAGAGTCAGGAGCGGGAAAGACGCCAAGTGGGCTTTTGGTGTGTCTGTATACCTTGGCGCGCTGACACTCTAAGCATGCGCGTGCCCAAAGGCGGACATCGCGATTGACGTTGGGCCATACGAAGCGTTCCGTTACGAGCTTCTGCGAAGCACGTATGCCGGGATGAGACAGGTTGTGTAAAGCGTTGAAAACTAGTCGACGCATCGAAGTAGGAACTACGGGTCGGGGAGAAGTTTGTGAAACGTCACAAAGAATGGTCCCCTCAGATGAAGCTAGTGGAACTTCGCGTAGTTTCAACGAGGTGTTGCGTCGTAGCTTGTCTATGTCGGGATCAGCTTGTTGGGCAGCAGCCATAGCGGCTAGATCAATGTTGGTGCCAGGCGATAAGCTGATCTGCTGAATGCGTGAAAGCGCATCCGCGACGGGATTGAGAGCACCTGAGACATGTCGTACGTCTGTCGTAAACTGAGAAACGTAGTCTAGGTGTCTAGTTTCCCGCGGAGAATACTTGTCCGTTGCGCCATTGATTGCGTAGATCAATGGCTTGTGGTCAGTGAAGACTGTAAAATGTCGACCTTCGAGATAGTGACGAAATGTCTGATACCTAGGTAGATAGCTAACAGTTCCCTACCGAAGGTGCTGTAACGCGATTCGGCAGGTTGTAAACGTTTCGAGAAGAAACCTAGAGGTATCCATCGATGGTCGATGAGTTGTTGAAGAACTGCACCGACGGCAGTGTCGGATGCGTCAGTTGTCAGGGAGAGTGGTGCAGATGTGTCTGGATGGGCGAGAAGCGCTATGTTGGAGATAGCGTCTTTGAGCTTCTCGAAAGACAGTCTAGCGTCGTCTGTAAAATGAAAAGACCGTTGTTTACCGCGGAGCAAGTCAGTCATTGGTTGAACAATGCTCGCGCAGTTAGGAATAAAGCGTCTATAATAGTTGACCAGGCCAAGGAATCGGCGTAACTGTTTGAAGGAACTGGGAGCAGGATAGTCCTTCAGTGCCTGGATTTTGTCTGGCAGAGCTTCGATACCAGAGGCGGATATGCGGTGGCCAAGAAAGTCGATGGAACTTTGGCCAAGCTCGCATTTATCGGGGTTGACGGTAACCCCATGCTGTGTTAAGCGTTGGAAGAGAGCGTCGAGGTGATGAAGATGTTCCTCGTCAGAAGAGCTGGCGATGAGAATGTCATCTAGATAAGGATAAACGCCTTCGAGTCCTCGCGTTACCTCATGAATGAAACGCTGAAAAGTTTGGGCAGCGTTGCTGAGGCCGAAAGGCATTCTGAGGTACTCGAATAGGCCGAATGGCGTGATGACTGCTGTTTTAGCAATGTCGTCTGGCGCGACAGGTATCTGATGGTAGGCGCGAACTAGGTCGACTTTGCTAAAGATAGACTTACCAGCTAGAGCTGAGGTCAAGTCGTGCATGTGCGGAATGGGGTATTTATCCGGGACGGTAACTTTGTTAAGTGCCCTGTAGTCACCACAGGGGCGCCAGTCACCGGATTTCTTCGGCACCATGTGTAATGGTGATGCCCATGGACTTTTGGACGGGCGGATGATTCCCAGTTCGAGCATTTGCTCGAATTCCGCCTTAGCAGCTTTGAGCTTGTCCGGGGCTAGTCTGCGAGGGCGGGCCGAAACAGGTGGGCCCTTAGTGCAAATGTGATGCATGACGTTTGACGTCACAGGAGGCAAGTCGTTCAGGATGCGAACGAGTTTAGGATGCTTGTTGAAAAGTTCTAGAAAAGGTTGTGAAGCTTGAGGTAGGACACGAATGGGAGTGATAGCAGCCACGTTGGCGCTAGTCCCGATAACACTGAGCTGTGTCCTAGAGTCGATAAGCTTCTTCCTTTTAGCGTCGACGATGAGGTCGAAGCGTTGAAGAAAGTCTATGCCTATGATGGCGAAAGGCACGGCAGCGATTATGAAAGGCCAGCGAAAGGTTCGCCGGAGGCCTAAATTGAGCGTTAGCAGCTTTTCGCCGAAAGTTGCGATTGGTGTGCCATTGGCGGCACGCAGCTTGGTCGGCGATGGTGAGACGACCTCATCTGGGCTACGGGGTATAACGCTAACTTCGGCTCCAGTGTCGACTAGAAACTCGGTGCCGGAAGTTAAATCCCTAACGCGGATGAGGCGACTTTGGTGTTGGCCGGTCGCGTCCGTCGCCGTTACGGACCGGCCGAGAAGTTTCCCTGCTTCTCGGCGAAGTTGCAAGGCTTTACACATTTATGAGCTGCGGTACCAAAACGCTGATGGTACCAACAGCTAGCCTGCCTGTTGCTAGACTTAGAACGTTTGAAGGGCGATTTTGAGCGGCTATGACGACGACGGTTCATAGTAAGCTGTTGAACCTGGCGACTAAGTGTCGCAACTTGTGTTTGCAGGGCTTCTATAGTTGACTGTAAGCCAGTGATAGAAGTGCCCTGGGACGCGACGGCATTGATCTTGCTGGCGTCGGCTTGTGGCTGTGATCGCTCAATAACTCGATCCGCTAAATCTGCTAGTTGAGTGAGCGAAACGGAGCTCACTGTAGCGAGAATCGCTTGCGTGTTTTCCGGTAGCCGCTGTAGCCATAGTTCGCGAAGTAAAGTCTCGTCCATGGTTGAGGAACCAAGGAGTTGCTGCATCTCTCGTAGCAGGGTTGAGGGCAGTTTGTCGCCCAGCTGCAGATCCCTGAAAAGCTGCTGCAGGCGAACTTTCTCAGAGGGCATAACACGCTTAATCGTGGCCTCCTTGAGAGCCTCATAGCGGTTTTCGGTCTGAGAAATGATGACGTCACGAACCTGCATTGATATCTCCTTGGGGAGATAGGACAGGAGCTTGCTATACTTCGCGTAGTCGGAAGTGATTCTGTGGTTGTAAAACTCAGCCTCAAGATGAGCGAACCACAAAAGAGGATCCATGTCCCAAAAAGGTGGCACAGAGAGAGATACAACGCTTAGCAGAGACTCTACCTTAGGGTCTACAGATTCCATGGCTTAAAAAATGACGCAAAAATAGGCTACCGTATGCAAAAATAAACCGCAAAATATGAAAAATAAATGGAACGAGCTCACCGGAGAAAAGTTCGAAATATCCGGCGCTGAGATTGTTCCGGAGTCGGGGTCACCAATTTAGAGGGTCGCCTGTACCGGGAGCCCAGAGAGCGATTCGAGAAGACAGATCGAGTTGCAGGGAAACTTTTATTGGTACAGTAAAAGATTCCCTGTTATCTAGCTATAAAGGAACGACACCGTGGACGCTCTAGCTAGGGGAACGGAGCATGCACAGCACACAGGGCAGTCGCGAGTTGCAACCGAAACGAGCGCCAAGCAAAAATGGCGATGAGCAAGTCAAGCATTCGAACTCAGCAATCAGTTCAACAAACCACACCGGTTGCCTAGGTGTACAATGAAATAATTTTAGTTAGAATTTTACACAGGCAAACCGGGGAATCTCCAGACTGCTACGGATGCCAGTAACTGTATACACAGTTTGTATGCGTGCATAGTAAGCGATCGAAGGTTGTTGGAAAGCGGCAAGTGTTGCGTATCCGCCTAATGGAAATATTTTAACTGGTGCCGGTGTTACAGTTTCCCTTCGTGGTTCTCAGCGGTTTTTAAGAGGGAATGCTACGAGATTGGAAACGCCTGTCTTTGGCATTCGTACAGTTTTTACCTGAGAAAGCCTTGGCTTTGAGGTAAAAATCGGCGTTTAACAGCGAATCAGGGAAGCATGGGGCTAAACTTAATGAAGACGTTTCGTTGCACGCAGGAGATGCCTGCATTTGTACGTCTTCAATATAACATACGTTTAACAAGGCGCGATTTGTATGACATACGGCGGCGTCATCGTAACGCTTGTGTCACGGAAGTGGATGAGGTTACGCAGCTGTTGCGAAGAACTGGTCAGGAAACTGACTAGATTGGGTAGCGTCCCGGTTAACGATCCAAACCCTCGACCGCGCTTACTTCGTTTAGTCCTATCCACCCCGGAGGAACGCAACGCGCTGTTGCGGTTTGCTTTCAAATTGAAGGGTACTAACCTTAGGGTTCAGCCGTACCTCCCATTAGCGGATAGGCTGAAGCTAAAATAGGACAAGGTAGACAAGGTCTCCGGTTGGTGGGTTTTTGGGTGGTCAGCCGGCGGTCTGTTTCTTTGCCACTAGTGCCAGTAGTCTTAGCACACGACCCAGGGCTGGACATTACGAGTACCTTCAGGTAGTGCTAAGCAACGTGCGCAGCCTAAAGGAATAATATGTGCAATATAGGTCTGCTTGTAGATGGGTCTCCTCCCGATATACTTGCATTCCCTGAAACGTAGCTCATCGAGATGAAGCGAATGGCCCGTTTCAGAATCCGTTCCATGACTTTGCACAAAATCGGTAGCTGGCTGGATTCTTTCGGTTTCCTCCTTTGTAAATAGGTTTAACGATTTTCAACTGTCAAGCAGTTGGAAGCCGCCCGACATCAAAGGAACGACGGAAGATTTGACAGACGAGCGGCAATGTGCCCAACCAGTCTTAAGGAACAATGGGTGTGAACCATCAGGACCAGGCGAGGAATACGGGTCTAGGTCGAGATGAAGTTTCATTACAACACTGATCAGTGTTAACATTCACATGCTCCAACAGGGAAGGAGGAGTGGGTGCAACGCTATCCTTGAGTGGCATTTCGGTTGAGTAGACAGAGGTATATTGCTGGGCCAAAATGCTAGCTTTCTCAACGTCTTCGTAAACTAGGTCCAAATGCTCACGCGGAGACAAGGCAGGGACACCAGTGCCAGCTCGGGAGGGGAGTGGCTAATTTCTGTACTGAAAAATTGGCCTTAAAGGGCTTTGTGTTCCGGTACAAGTTCAAGTGGGACTGGAACGATAGGATGAATCCCGTAAGTGTTCCTTCTTGAGCGGGTCGTCGATCCAGGAGTTGATAGGGGTGCTCCGACTTCTTGATGGGTCTAAAAGGAAAACACCCGAAAAAACCCTGGTCCACCAATTTAATGCCCACGTTCCTTACATTAGCTGTCCCAGCTATGTCAGTTACGTGAAGTAAGAGAAGAAAAAGCGAAGGTTAAAAGAAGAGAATAATACCAATGGCGAGGAAAAGTAAAGAAAACAGAATCGAAGTATGAAGATGGAAGTTAGTCAGGAAAAAGCAAGGTTTCGTGTTGCCAGTCAAGAGCATCTAGTTCACGCTCAAACTCCTTAACCGTAGCTTCCTTGACAACATGTTCTTGAAGCAGGTTCCAGCGCTCGATGCTTTGACGTGATAACCGTGTCTCCGCTCTAACTCGATCGGACCGCGGTTTGTCCAGCTTCATACAATGCCCGCGAAGACCAGATAATCTAGCAGGACTAAATAGAAAGGACAAATCAGGGCCAACCTTCCTAGTCAAAATACGGTAGGTTAGGGTTAGGTCCCCTCTAATACTTCGATAGTGCATGGGAAGCACCCCCCAGAACTAAGTAGGCGTTCGGGGTACGTTTGTCCTCGTAACCCATTGACCGACCTAGTACCGACATGCAACACCGTTTCTAGTGCCATTTTCTCCCGGACAAGACATGGTGGACAGGCCTGGACGCAATATTCTAGGTGGGGTCGCACAAACGCTGAGAAGAGCTTCACAAACACATCAGCGGTTAGGGTCCCAAAAGAACGACGGATAAACCACAACATCCGGAACCCTTTACTAGCCGCCTTCTTCCAGTTGTCGCCAGAGTGTAGTGTGGAACAGTGGACGACACCTAGATCAACCTGATGAGTCACGTGAGGAAGTTCACTCCCATCGAGCACATAACTTGTGGAGGAAGCAGACGCTCCGATACGCAGCACTGAACACTTTGCCCGGTTTATGGGCAGCAACCACAAGACAGACCATTCCCAGAGTCTATCCAGAGCCCGTTGAAGAGCCACAGGACCTCCAGGGATATCAACAATATTCCAGA